GTGAGGAACCAGGCAGAGGCAAGCATCTTCGCATGGTCTGTGATAGAGGGCCAGAGAGGGAGCCCAAGAGCCCTGTGGTCATGCTGAAGAAAGGATCCGTGACAGCTGATCTCAAGGGCTAACCAGAATTTTGCACAGAGTGAACAGGGAGGAGACCTCCTTTGCCCAGGCCAGGCAGCAGGAGAGCAGAGGTATTGAAGATGCTCGAGTCGTGGGTAAAGCGGAAGTGAAAGGGACAGGGGCGTATGCCTGAGTGGGGAGGGAGGTAGGAGGCCGGTGCCCAGGATGCAGTGCCACGTTGGCTCCATCCCTTTCAGAGGACCCTCTGCTCAAGGGCAGTTCCCCCTGTATGTTCTGTGCCTGCTTACTTGAGGTCCTAGCCGATGCCCCTGGTCACAACAGGCCTGACTTCCCATTTCTGTGAGTCAGGGCTCCTCTCCTACTTCATTCTGACCTAGCGCCCAGTGGGGAAGCACAAGTCCGTGCAATGGAAAAGAGGTGGGTGTTTGGCAAAGCCCCAGGAGTGAAATGTGGACTGGGTGTTAGGCAGTAGGGGGTGATGGGGACTGTGGAGAATTAGTAAATACATGGGCTATCAGAAGGACAGAAAGAAAGATAGCACTGTCATATCAGACTCTTGCGAATCCATGAGCTGTATATAGCCTGCCAGGTTCCTCCCTCCATGGGATTCTCCAGACAAGAATTCTGGAGTAGGCTGCCATTTCCTTCTCCTGAAAGACAAGAGGGGCCACTGAACTCTGTCAGTGTGATTGTTTGGAAATTCCAGCCTGGTACCACCAGATCTGTGGCTGCTTTTAAGAGAAGAATTTTTTCCAGATTTTTTATATGAATAAAAAATCTCTTATATGGCCCACATTTTTTTTATATGAATCTTTTATAAAGTATAAAAGTATAAAGTAACTAATTTTAAAATGTTTCAAACATCTGCCTAGCTAAACAGGAACATTGTGGATCCATATAGCTCATTGTTGGGCATACATGATTGAGCCCTAAGTGTGTTGTAGAAGGAACAGTGTCCTTGTGTCCCCAGACCAGCCTAGGCCACTCTTGGACTGGGCAGAGAGGCCAGGACACTGTTGGTTGGTGGGTACCCCAGAGTTGCCCCAGGCAGCCCCATGCAAGTCTTTGGGCAGCACCCGCCCCTGTGTTCAACACTGTCTACAGGTTACACCCCAGTGGGCAAGGGCAGCTGAGCTGTCCAGATCCCAGAAGGCAGACAGTTTTTCTTTTTTTTTGGATTTTTCCTTTCTTGTCAGTATTCTAGCCTCTGCTTACCTCTGCCTGTTGCCCAAATGACCACATCCTTGGGAGCTACTGGTGAAGAAAGACAGGAGAAACATGGGAAGCAAGACTGGTGGGGTAATAGCATCACATAGGTATCCATGCTCCAGGAAGGGTGGAGGGTAGCCATGTGGCCTGGAATATTCTCCAGACCTGGAGCCAGACTGCCTGGGTTCTTTTGTTTTCCTACTTTTTATTTTATTGGAATATAGTTGATTTATAATGTTGTATTAGTTTCTGGTGTACAGCAAAGTGATCCAGGTTTATATACATAATATACATACACTCATTATTTTTAGATTCTTTTCTCATAGAGGTTATCACAGAATACTGAGTAGAATTCCCTGTGCTCTACAGTAGGTCCTTGTACACTTATAGTAGTATACTTATAGTAGTATAGTTGTACACTTATAGTAGTGTGTGTGTGTTAATCCCAAGCCCCTTGTTTATCCTTCCCCTCCATGTGTCCCCTTTGGTAACCATAATTTTGTTCTCAGTATCTGTAAGTCTGTTTCTGTTTTGTAAATAAGTTCACTTTTATTTTTTAAACTAGATTCTACATATGAGTGATATAATATTGATATATAATAATCTCTTTCTGACTTCACTTAGTATGATAATCTCTAGGTTTATTCATGTTGCTGCAAATGGCATTATTTCATTCATTTTTATGGCTGAGTAATAGTCCACTGTGTATATGTACCACATCTTTGTTCATTCCTCTGACCATGGACATTCAGGTTGCCTCTGTGTCTTTGCCGCTGTAAATAGTGCTGCTGTGAACATGGGGGGGCTTCCCTGGTGGCTCAGACGGTAAAGCATCTGCCTGCAACACGGGAGACCCAGGTTCGATTCCTGGGTTGGAAAGATCCCTGGAGAAGGCAATGGCACCCCACTCCAGTCCTCTTGCCTGGAGAATCCCATGGACGGAGGAGTCTACTAGGCTATAGTCCATGGGGTCACAAAGAGTTGGACACGACTGAGTGGCTTTACCTTCACTTTCATGAACATTGGGGTATGTGTGCATCCTTTCAGATCATGTGTTTTCTCCAGATACATGGTGAGGAGTGAAATTGTTGGATCATATGGTAGCTCTAATTTTAGTTTTCTAAGGAACCTACATACTGTTCTCCATAGTCGTTGTACTAATTTACATTCCCACCAACAGTGTAGAAGGGTTCCCTTTTCTCCACATCCTGTCTACCATTTATCGTTTGTCGACTTCTTGATAATGGCCATTCTGATGGGTATGAAGTGATACCTCACTGTAGTTTTGATTTGCATTTCTCTGGAAATTAGTGATGTTAAGCATCTTTTCATGTGCCTTTTGGTCGTCTGTATGTCTTCTTTGGAGAAATACCTACTTAAGTCTTCTCCCTATTTTTTGATTAGGTTTTTTTTTTTTTTTGACATAGAGATGCATGATCTATTTGTATACTTCTGAGATTAATCCCTTGTCAGTCCATTTGCAAATATTTTCTCGCATTGTGTTTTTTCATTTTGTTTATTTTTTCCTTTGCTGTGCAGAAACTTTTAAGTTTGACGAGGTCCCATTTGTTTATTTTGTCTTTGTTTTCATTACTCTAGGAGGTGAATCATAAAATTCAAAATGCTGCAATTTATGTCAAAGAGTATTCTATGTTTTCCTCTAAGAGTTTTTATCATTTTCAGTCTTCCATTTAGGTCTTTGACCCATTTCAGGTTTATTTCTGTAGGTTGCTTTGTATAGTCATTTTGACAATGTTTATTCTTCCAGTGTTGGTAAACCAAGAACATGGTATATCTTCCCATCTCCTTGTGTCATCTTCAATATCTTCCATCAGCATCTTATATTTTTCAGTGTATATAGGTCTTGCCTCCGTAGGTAGACCTACCACTAGGTATTTTACTCTTTTGGATGAGATGGTAAATTGTTTTACCATGGGATTGTTTCCTCAATTTCTCTTTCTGATCTTTCATTGTTAGTGTATAGGAATGCAAGAGACTTCTGTATATTAATTTTGTGTCTTGCAATTTTACCAAATTCATTGAGCTCTCATGATTTTCTGACAGCATCTCTAGGATTTTCTATGTATAATATCATGTCATCTGCAAACAGTGACAGTTCACTTACCCAAGGCAATCTAGAGATTTAATGCAATCCCTTTCAAATTCAATGGCATTTTTATAGAACTAAAAAAAATCTTAAAATGTGTATGGAGACACAAAAGACCATGAATAGCCAAAGCAATCTTAAGAGAAACAGAGCTGGAGGAATCAGACTCCCTGACTTCAGACTATACTATAAACTATAGTAATCAAAACAGTATAGTACTGGCATAAAAACAGAAATATAGATTAAAAGAACAGGAGAGAAAACCCAGAAATAAAATCACATGCCTGTGGTCGATTAATCTACGACAGAGGAGGCAAGAATATACGATGAAAAAAAAAAAGAAAGTCTCTTCAGTAAGTGGTGCTGCGAAAATTGAATAGCAACATGTAAAAGAATGAAATTAGAACATTCTCTAACACAATACACAAAAATAGACACTCTGTATCCATTAAACAATAACTCTCCATTCCACTGTCCTCCAACCCCTGGCAACCACCATTCTACTTTCTGTCTCTATGATTATGCTAAGTAGGTCATATAAGTGGAATCATACGGTACTGGTGTTTTAGTGGACTGACTTATTTCACTTGGCAAAACATCCTCAAGGTTTGCCCATGTTGTAGCATTTGTCAGAATTTCCTTCTTCTTATGGCTGGATAATATTATGTTGTATATATGTATCACATTGTGTTTATCCATCTATCCATTGATGGATCCTTGGTTTGCTTCCATCATTTGGATATTGTGAATAATACTACTGTGAACATGGGTGTTTGTATATCTGCTCAAGTCTCTGCTTTCAGTTTTTTTGGGTATGTGCCCAGAAGTGGAATTTCTGGGTCATACAGTAATTATGCTTTTAATAGTTCGAGGTGCCTCCATACTGTTTTCCACAGTGGCTGCACCATCTTACGTTCCCGTGAACAGGGCACAAACATTCAATTTCTCGACGTCCTCACCAGCACATGTTGTTTTCTGCTTTTTGGATAGTAGCCATCCTCATGGGTGTGAGAGAGTGTTGACTCGCGTTTCCCTAATGAACTACAATGTTGGGTCGTGATTCTGCTTTCGTATTATCTGTCCTCTGTCTTATTGCTTGTGCGTCAACAGTGCTCATGGCTATCCTGTCCTCCATGGTATGAGTAGGCCATGATGATCCCGCTCATTCTGCCACTCATGGGCATTAGGCGGTTTCTCATTCAGAGAGATTGCAGGGAGTGCCACTAAGAACATTCTGGAGTGCATCTTTCGGTGGCCATGGTGTTAGGTTGTTAAATGCAAGCCACTGCCATTTGAAAGTTAGTATTGTATATATAAACCAATTCATAAATAAAATGTATGGTGCATGCTCCCCGAGGGCCCAAAGGGTCCTCAAGCTTGGACAGGCTTCACAGGCCAGGCTAGGCTGCTGCCTGATATGCCCTTCTGCCGTGTCCCAACCGCCTGCTGCCTGCCCTCCCAGTTTCTAATCTGCTTCCCCGGGGCGGGGGCGGGAGTGCCTCCCTGGGCCCTGACAGCACTCCCTGCCTGCTGTTGTCCCCAGTGTCCTCCCCACTGGTGAGTCAGCTAGCTGAGGGTATGACCAGCTCCTCTCTGTGCCCAGGGATCTTTGGGCAGCGGCTGGAGGACACAGTCCACCATGAGCAGAAGTACGGCCCCCGCCTGGCGCCGCTGCTGGTGGAGCAGTGTGTGGACTTCATCCGGGAGCGTGGGCTCACCGAGGAGGGCCTCTTCCGCATGCCCGGCCAGGCCAACCTGGTGAGGGACCTGCAGGATTCCTTTGACTGTGGGGAGAAGCCACTGTTTGACAGGTGAGCTCCTGGGAGGAGATGTAGATAGGGCCACCTGTCCATTACCCCTGCAGAGTCTCCTCTCAGGATGCCAGCTGAGAGGCCTGGGTACAGGATGGAGGGCAGGGTGACACCCCACACTGGCACACATGTGCCCAACCAGCCCTCCTGATGGGCGGAGTGTGGGGCATAGAACCAGTGTGGCAGCCCTGGGTCTCCCACCTGGGTGGATCCTGCTACTTCCATGCGGGCTCTGTCCACTGTGGAGATGCCCCTCATAAGCCCGCAGTCTGTCTCTTGGCTCTGCTGTCTCAGGGTGACCCATTCCCCCACCTCCTGGCTTCTTAGATGCCAATACTGAGATGCACATCCTCACAAGTTTCAGGGGCAGGGGAGCGAGTCTCCTCCACCTGTCCTCGGCCAGCACCCATACTACTCCATCACTGGGGCTTACTGGGTCCTAGGCTCCACCCTGGGATAGAGTCAGCCTCACTGAGTGCCCAGGGACTAAGAGCAGGGGAGAGGTGACTGTTTGGGGGCCTCTTGTCTCTGACAGAACCCACATTATGGGGTAGTTTTTCATAGAAAGTTCTTTCTGCAGCCAGCCAGCCCTGGCCCCCATGGAGCTTCTGCCCCTTCTTCTCGGATCTGCCCTCTCCTGGGGCAAACAGGCCCCCCACCTTGCAGCATAGGCCCACAGGTTTCTGCTGGCAGCCCTGGCATTTTCAGGTCTTTTCCTCTCAGGGCAGAACACTGCCAGCCCCTCCAGCATCTGCCTAGACCATCACTGCAGCCAGGAGAGTCTATCAATATCTTTTTCAGATGTGGAGTGTGGGTCTGATCACCATTTCCCAGAGGGGGTCTGCCCAGAGAGGGCACAGGGGTTCCTTCATCTGGGCCAACAGTATGGAGTGGGGAGAGGGTGAGGAAGTGAATTTCTAGGGAGGGAGGAAAGATGAGGCAGTCAGGGCTGAGCCAAGCTCCCAGGACCAGGAGTACTGTAACCTCGGGCAGCCAGGAAGAGTCAGGATGGGGCTTTGGGCAGGGACACCCAAAGTTTTGGGGAGAGCCATGAGGTCCGCAGCCCAGAGGGGCCACCCTCTGAGTTTACTTGCCCAAATCAGAAATGCTTCACCTTCCCCACCAGGGGGAGACACAATGGCTGGCCCTTGTCCAAAGGCAAGCTGCTCATCCTCCTAGCTTCCCATCCCTCCCCCCATCTTCCTGGGGTTCCTGCTCATGCAGTGGCTGGCAGTGAACTCATGGTGTCCCCAGGTGGAAGGTCGCTAGGGCTCAAGGCTAAGTATCCACTGGGGACATAAGCTTCCAGGAAATGGGGGGTGTCAGCAGAGGAGTGGCTGGGAGAAGGCAGACAAGGGTGAGGGTGGCCGTGTGCTTGGCTGGAGAGGGGAGGTGGGGGCAGGAATGGGGGCTGCTCGGTTGGCCAGACCAAGAGCCATCAAGAGCCACCAGTCCTGAGGCAGGGAGGGGCTCTGGGGATACAAATTCGAGGTGCATGTGGCCCTGTGGAACCCCAGAATTCCAAATGCCAGGGTGGGAGGGACCACAGGGCTCATCTCAGTGAAGAGATGGACAGCAGGCCAGGAGCACCTTAATGGCACAGCCACTTTTGGCCTGTGACCCATCTTTCCTGAACACCTCCCATGAGGGAAATGCAGATCCAGAAGAGCAGATGAAACACCCGGGGCCCACCCAGCTTGGAAGGCAAGCTTGGAGGAGGTACCAGGACTGCAGCCCAGGACCTGACCCCAGAATCCAAACAGGCCCAGGGCCACCATCCTCTCCAGGGCCCACTTCAGCCTGGGCAGCTCCGAGCTGCAAGCAGGAGACTGACACCTGGGAGTGGACATATGGGGATCTGGGGCACTGGAAATGGGACATCTGTAGTGTGAATAGGAGCCCAGAAGCCGGGGAAAGATGCTGACCTCTGACCTGCCCAGCCTCGGTGCCCAAGAACAGCTGCCCTTTTCCAAGGGGCTTGGCAGCCCTGCATGGTGGGCATGTTTGACACGGTCCTCCTGCTTCCACTAGAGGGTGAGCCTGGGCATAAGAGCAGGCTCAGACATGGGCCAAAGGACAGCTGTGCCCCTGGCTCCCCGACCCCAGAGTACCCTGGGGCAGGTACCAGGCCAGTGGAAGGTGGCCCTTCACACCCACCTGTTCCCTAGCCAGTCATCATTGTGTGTGTGTGTGCATACACACACATACACGGATGTGAGAGCAGAGACCGCCCCTGAGGGGGGTGGGCGAGGTGCTGGTCGCCCTGCGGTTCTCTGGTGCCCAGCCTCACAGGTGTCCCCTCCGTCTGCAGCACAACCGACGTGCACACGGTGGCCTCCCTGCTGAAGCTGTACCTGCGGGAGCTCCCTGAGCCTGTGGTCCCCTTCGCCAGGTACGAGGACTTCCTTAACTGCGCCCAGCTGCTCACCAAGGACGAGGGGGAGGTTAGTGGCTCACGGGGACCCATGCTGGGGGAGTGGGCCTGCTAGTTGATGGGGGGCGGTGCGTGTGGAAACAGGACTTTTTGTGACTTTTCATGGTACATAGATCCTGTAGCCTGCTCTGTTGGGGATGAGGGGCAGGCCTAGAAGCTCCAAATCTGGGGAGAGCTAGAATATCTCCCCGCTAGGCGGGAGGGTACTCTAGGGTGGGAAGCCTGGAGCATCCCCTCCCTGTGTGCAGCCCTCCATCTAGGAGGGACAGGTACCTCCTGAAGCAGGCTGTGTTCCAGCCATGCTCTTGAGTGCAGCCTTCCCAGGCTGGACCACCACTCAGTAGGCACTCCTGCTCCATCACCTCCTCTCACATCTTAACTCAGGCTACCCAGGCTAGCCTTGGGATTCAGAAACAACCAGACCTTTCATCTATTTCTATCCTGCCTCCTCCCAAAAGAATTTGAGACTGCCCCCAGGACAGAGCCCCCCGCCTGCAGCCCTGGTTGGCTCCAGCTGGGGAAGAACTGTTTGCCCTCCCCGTGGCTGTGTGGGAGATGAGGGGTCTTTATCTAGCAAATATTTGTGCCTCGATAAGTGAGCTGAGCGCTGGCCCTGACATTCCTCTGTGGCTCTGCAGAGGCACATCCCTTACAACAGCATCTCGAAAGTAAATCTCTTTCCCCCCAGAGGTCACCAGCCAGGGGGATGAAAGTGTGGTGCCCTCTAGTCACTGGCGGCCAGGCCTGTGGGCTGTGGATGGAGGTCTGGACTCGGATTCCCACTCCCTCCTCATCCCGCCTGCCTCCAGCAAGAGAAGGCCTGGGGCCTCCCTGCTGATCTTTGAAATGCTGTTTTTCTCTCTCAATCCCAAGGGGACTCTGGAGTTGGCTAAGCAAGTGAGCAGCCTTCCCCTGGTCAATTACAACCTGCTCAGATATATCTGCAAGTAAGTGACTAGGGGTGGGGCTTCCCTCTCCTGCAGTCTGGCTCCATATGCCCTTCACAGGTGTCAGGGGGCCCACCCACACATCTATCAAGCCAGTGGGGGATATAAAAGAAGTCTCTGCACTTACAGAGCTTATCATAGTCCTGGTTGGAGCAGGCAGTGTTATACAGTCCTGAGTACATTATTCCTGAAGGAAAGCAAGATGGCCTTTGTTCCTTCTGCCTCCCCGGGGTGCCTCTCACCGCCCCTCCCCATGGGTCTGCTTCCTGACCATGACCTAGGCTCAGGGTGCCAGGAGAGGACAGGTAGGGTGGACCTTCACCCAGCCCTGCATCTGGGGGTCTGAGCCTTCCTAGGCAGCTGTACCCAGTGCAGGTGGGGGAGTTATGTCCTTCCACACCAACGACAGGCCCTGGTTCCAGTGGCCTTTACTTCTGATCCCCTCCAGATCTCAGGAAGCTCTGCCCTCTTCTGAGCCTGGCAGGGGCAGCTGACGGTGCCCGGTAGCTGTGGAAAGATGGGCACAGCTGAGCATGGGGGACCAGGCAGCTCCCAGCAGATCTGGAGTTAGGGATCTGCTTCTCTGCCAACTGTCTCTTCCTTCCTTTGTAGGTTTCTGGATGAAGTTCAGTCCCACTCAGATGTCAACAAGATGAGCGTCCAGAACCTGGCAACTGTTTTTGGGCCTAATATACTTCGGCCACAGGTAGAAGACCCGGTGACCATTATGGAAGGTAATGGAGGGGGTGTACGTGGTGGTGCTGGGTGCTCGGGGCTCACGTCGGTCCCGGGCAGGTCCTCAGAACCCTCACACCAGGCCAGCAGGGAGGGTGGCCCTGCCCCTGGGCACTTGGAAGCAGCCTCTCTGCACCTCCTCACTGCCTTCTCCAGCCCCTCTTCCCCCATGGGGTCAGCTCTAAAAGGAAGAGGAACTTTGCCCTGTGGATGGGGTCCTAAGGTGCAGTTAGAATGATGGGAGCGGCTGAGGGGGTGGAGGTGGGGTGGAAAAGGTAAGTGCCCTTGCCCTCGAATACACACAAATGTTTTTGTTTCACCGAAGCAATTTTCGATTAAGTAATTGTCACAGGCTGCTTCCGGATGTTAGAGCTCAGCAAACCCTGGGGATATTATGTTCTGTAATGAATAATCATAATAAAAAGATTTCAAATAATAGAGCAACAGCAGCCGCTTTCCACACGTCAGAGCCTCTGCTGAGTGCTTTCCTTCTACCACCGCATTTCAGTCCTCACAAGAAGCCCCGGTTACTGCCCCCATCTGACAGATGAGGAGACAGGCCACGAGAGGTGAGGTGACTCTCTCAGTCTGACTTTTCAGAGGGCACACAGGTGCAGGCTGGCCCGGACATGAGCCCATTGCTTGGAGCCCCATAGAAAGACCATCCTCTCTAGTGTGGGAGTCTAGCTGCTCACAGGTAACCTGCAGTCATTCGAGCCAAGGAGCGGAGAGGCTGGCAGAACTCACGCAGAGCTTGCCTGACGCCAGCTGGAGCCTACTGCCCCTGGCACGAGGCAGGCTGAGGGCAGAGTGGCCGTTCCTGTGGGACATGAACTAGGGGAGGTGCGTGGGGCGAGGGGCGGGCTGCAGAGCTTTTCCCTGTCCCACCCCCAGCTGACGGGGTGTCCCTTGGGGGTTGTTCCCTTGTTTAGCACTCCCTTGGCCTGACTGGTAGTCTCCCCAGAGCTCCCACCTGCCAGGTTGCACAGATGCCTGACGGCAAATGCTCACCCTGCTGAACTGCCAAGCTCTTGCTTCATCTAGTAAAGATTGTTTACTTAATGCTCCCCATGACTCTCCATTACTTCTAGTGGGAGTAGAAGCACTTGACCTTCCTCATCACATAGACGCCTCCTCCTGTCTCTGGTCTTTGCTGGAGGATAACAGGAGGGTAGATACCATGGTCGCTCTGCAAAGCCTTCCTTTGTCACTGACCCCTCTCTTCACCCCACAGCCTCAGGAACTGAGTCCCCACATGTGCCACAGGCTGTGTCTCAGGGGCTGTGGCCTGGGGAAGAAGAAGCATGTGCTTGTGTGGGGGGTTGTTCATGTTAGGGGGGGTGGCTATGTGCATTTGTGTGTGATTGTGTATGGGGTTGTGTATGTGTGACTCTGTGTATGGGGTCATGTGTATGTATGACTCTGTGAATGGGATTGTGTGTGTGTGTGACTCTGTGTATGGGGTTGTGGATATGTGACTCCGTGTATGGGGTTGTGTGTGTGTGTGTGACTATGGGGCTGTGTATGGCTATGTGTGACTGTGTATGGGGTTGTGTGTATGACTGTGTATGGGGTTTTATATGTGTGTGTATGGGGTTGTGTATGAGGTTGTGTATGTGTGTGACTCTGTGTATGGGGCTGTGTATGTGTGTGACTATGGGGTTGTGTATGTGTGTGAATGTGTATGGGTATGTGTGACTGTGTATGGGGTTGTGTGTATGACTGTATGGGTATATATGTGACTGTGTATGGGGTTTTATATGTGTGTATATGGGGTTGTGTATGAGGTTGTGTATGTGTGTGACTCTGTATGAGGTTGTGTATGTGTGCCCACATGCATCCATAAGACATCTCAATTCTGTGTCCCAGAGCCCTGTGCCCCCCAGAGTGGAGGCATAGCCACTGTGGGCAGCAAATGGGGCAGACAAGACGACCCTGGCATTCAGGTCCTGGTTTCCAGTTCCAGCCTGCCCCTGGCTCACCCCACAGCCTTAACCAGCATTGTGTCTGCTCCTCCCTCCACCAGCTGGTTGGAGTGGGTGTGAAGGCTGAGTGCGTTTCTGTGCTCCAGACCCCACATTGGAGGAGGGGCATTTTGGGTATGGTCCTTCTGTCCCTGTCTGAATTTGGAAAGTGTGGTGGCCATCCTTACCTTTGGAGCAGAAGATGGCAAGCTCTTGTTGTCCACACTTACAGAGTAGACTGGTTTGAGGCTACTAGCAGAGCTGGGTGCCCTGGGTCCGAGCTGCAGCTTGCTGACTGGTCTGGAGAAACTAGACTGGAGGCATTCACAGTTAAATGTTTCTTATTCCTTCTTCTTGGCAGGCACTTCTCTGGTCCAGCACCTGATGACCATCCTGATCCGCAAACACAGCCAGCTCTTCACTTCGAGGACCATGGAGGGGCCAGCCTCCCTACGCGGGGGCCCGCCGTGCACCGTGGGATGGGGCTCCGAGGAGGTCACCAGGGACGACCAGGCAGAGCCCGGCAGTCCCAGTGCCCCCTGCCTGCCCTCACACAGGACCTCTTCTCTGGATGGGGCTGCTGTGGCGGCGCTCTCTAGAACCTCTCCCACGGGCCTGGGGAGCCGAGGCAGCCCTGCTGCCACCAGCCTTGGGAAGAAGGTGCAGACTCTGCCCAACTGGAGGTCTTCCTTCCGGCAGTCAGGGTCCCGGTCGGGGAGTCCGAAGGTGGGCACCTCATCCCTGGAGGTCCCCATCATCTCCTCTGGAGGGAACTGGCTCATGAATGGGCTGTCCTCCCTGCGAGGCCACCGCCGGGCCTCATCAGGAGACCGGCTCAAGGACTCGGGCTCCGAGCAGAGACTCTCCACCTACGACAATGTGCCCCCGCAGGGCTCCTTTCCCAGCACACCCAGTGTGGCCAGCCTGCCATGGTCTGGGGTCTCCTCCTGTGAGGCCTCGGCCAGGGGCTCGGTCAGCAGCTGCACAGCGTGCCGGGCCAGCAACTCCTCTGCCTGCAGCTCCCTGCACGTCGAGGGGGCCCTCGAGCCCTCCCCTGTCCTCAGCAGCAGCGAAGAGCGCAGATCCGTGGATCTGGACCATGGCCTGGATGGAGTGGGCGCCTGCATCAGCAGCAGCGAGCCCAGTGACCCGGGCAGCCCCGCCCAGGACCACGACCGCCGAACCGAGGTTCTCCAGGGCCTGGTCACAGAGCTCAGAGCAGAGCTGTGCCGGCAGAGGACTGAGTATGAGACGAGCGTGAAAAGGTAAAAAGCCTTGTTGGGCGAGTGCAAGACTGGCACTCCTGGGCTGGGCAGAGCACTCGCAGCCAGCAGCTCACTGGGCACTGGTCCTGGGCAATCAGCCTCTGGCTTGGAAAGATAGCTCCTGGAGGCAGGGTTCAGAGCAGCCAGCCCCCAGGAAGCTGCCTTTCTGGGAAAAGTTTCCCTAGGACAGGGCTGGGAATGGAGGGGTGGGGGTCCTCTGTCTGGGAAAGCTTGGGAGCCAGGACTCCATGAGGCCAGCTGACTAAAGGAGTGAGTCAGAATCTCAGCCTGAGCTGCTCAGAGTACCTTTGATGGAGAGGTTCGGAGTGGAGGTCCCTATGTGACCCTCAGGGAGGAGGCAGGCCCCGGTATGTCCTATAGTTCAGGAACTGGGAATGGGGCAGGGCCTCTGTGCACTGCAGGCCCCAGGCCAGCCTGACTGACCCACCATGGTTGGCCTGATGTAGAGTGAGGACAACTGGATGGAAATCCAATTTCCTCTGAAGAGGGAGCTGACCTTGCTGAGCCAAGCCCTCCCTTCTACCTGGTCACAGAAGACGCCCCGTGCCTTTAAGGCTTGCAGGCTTGCTCACTGATGGGCCCTGGTTCTGTCCTCTCAGCCCCTGAGTGCAGAGGGCTTTTTCCCTCACAGTCATCAGCAGAGCCTATGGGTCTCCCCAGGTGGCGCTAATGGTGAAGAATCTGCCTGCCAATGCAGGAGACAGACATAAGAGTCTCGGGTTTGATTCCTGGGTCTGGAAGATCCCCTGGAGGAGGGAATGGCAACCCCACTCCAGTATTCTTGCCTGGAGAAGCCAGTGGACAGAGGAGCCTGGTGGGCTACAGTCCATGGGGTTGCAGAGTGGGACACAACTGAAGCAACTTAGCACGCACACAGAGCCTACACTAGACAGTGAGCAGTGCTTCCATCAACATCTCAGACCCTTTAGCTCCTTTTGCCCCAGGCCTTGCATCAGCTGACTGACCTATGAACCCACATCCCACCCACTAGCAGAAGGCTTCAGTGGGCTCTGAGTGCTTCCTTTTTCCATCAAACAGTGGAGGCTGAAAGGATTCATGCTTCTGTTTCTGAGCATGGGATTCCCATGGGGAGCTGGAATGGCAGCATCTGACCCTCTTGTCCTGCTGGCAGCTGTCTCCTGGGTACCTGGGGAATGTCAGGTGTGTGCCAGCTCTGTGTTCATGGGGGGAAGATGGCAGGAGAGGGGCTATGAGGGCAGTGGCCACTGCCATGGGGGAGATCGGGGTAGGTGGGGTCACAGCAGGTGATATCTGAGCCAGGACTTGGCTCAATAGGAGCCAAGGACCAATAGGATTGGGCTGAACAAGGATGAGAAAGGACACAGAATGAGTAAAACCCAGGGTGTAAAATTGTGGACAAAACCCACAGGGTAAGCACTGGGTGGAATATACCAGGCAGAGATAGCAGGAACTCCCTGCAGATTCACTGGAAGGTGAGGACTGCTGAAGCTGAGCTTATAGAGCACACAGGACTTGGAGGATGCTGTCTGAGGGCAGCCTCAGAGGGTCAGAATCACCCTGTCACTTCTTTGGCTATTTGTGGAGATGACTCAAGCTTTCACCTTCTCGAAGGCTGGAGTCCTCAGGGGAAATGCAGTATTGTTGTCTGGTGGGCTCTGGGTTCAATCCTTGACCCACTGTGCATTTGCTGAGTGTCCAGGCAGGCTCTGAAAGCGTGAGGTAGTGGGGGTGGGGTGGAGAGCGAGGCCTTTTGCCAGGAGTGATGCTTTGATTTTATTCCCAATGAGATGTGAAGCTGCTGGCAGGCCTAGAGTACTTTGATCACTTTGATGAGGTGCGCTGGCTGCTGTGTGCAGGAGTGCTTGACGAGGCAGACAAAGACCAGTTAGAAGGCCACTGAGATCCAGGCCAGACTGGTGGGTGGCATGGACCTAAGAGGCAGCAGTCGAGGTGGGCAAGTGGCCAGATTCAGAACATGTTTGGGTTTTTCCAGTTGATCAACTGTGGGATGAGAAAAATAACTGACTTGAGGGACACCATTTTTGTTTTGTAAGAAGGTGGTCTCTGAGTGAAGAGACTGGGGCTGTAGGAGGGTGACTTGGGAAAGGAGGACAGGAACTAACAGGAGCAGGAGCTGTGGGTCTGTTAAGCTGTAGATGCTTATTAAGTTTCTGAGTGGACTTGAGAGAGAGAAAGATTGAGGGTTGTCACTCAACCTGTCACTCACTCACCACTTCTGTGGTGCCTGGAGCCTAAGGTTGGACAAAATCCCTTTAGGAGTGGCATGGAAGGAAGAGGGTGGCCCAGGCCATTCCCCAGAGCACTAGGGGGCAAGGAGGATCTTGTGAAGGAGGAGCCCAGAGGGAAGGAGAAGCAATGAAGAGGCTCATGGGGGGACCTGCTGCCCCCACTTTGGGGGGTCTTCTGACACTATGTCCCCCCCAGATGGGAGGTTAGAGTAAAGGAAGGCTTTTTCCCTTCTCCATGGTTTTTTTTTTTTAATTGAAGTATAGCTGATTTATAGCATTGTTAATTTCTGCAAAGTGATGCAGTTTTAATATACATATATTCTTTCTCATATTCTTTTTTTTTCCATTTATTTTTATTAGTTGGAGGCTAATTACTTTACATCATTGCAGTGGTTTTTGTCATACATTGAAATGAATTGGCCATGGATTTACATGTATTCCCCATCCCGGTCCCCCTCCCACCTCCCTCTCCGCCCTATCCCTCTGGGTCTTCCCAGTGCACCAAGTCCGAGCACTTGTCTTATGCACCCAACCTGGGCTGGTGATCCGTTTCACCCTAGATAATATACATGTTTCGATGCTGTTCTCTTGAAACATCCCACCCTCGCCTCCTCCCACAGAGTCCACAAGTCTGTTATTTCTCATATTCTTTTCCCTTATGGTTTATCTCAGGATACTAAATATAGTTCCCTGTACTATAAAAAGGACCTTGTTTATCTATCCATACGCACACACACACACACATATATATATGAATAGTTTGCATCTGCTAATCCTGAACTCCGAATCCCTCCCTCTCCCACCCCCTCACCCTGCCGTTGGTAACTCCAAGTGTGTTCTCTGTATCTGTGAGTATTTCACAGGTAAGTTCATTTGTGTCATATTTTAGATTCTACATATAAGTGATATCATATGGTATTTGTCTGTCTCTTTCTGGCCTACTTCACTTAGTATGATAATCTCTCAATCCATCCATGTTGCTGCAAATGGCATTAGTTCTTTCTTTTTTATGACTGAGTAGTATTACATTGTGTGTGTGTGTGTATATATATACACACACCACATCTTCTTTATCCATTCATCTGTTGATGGGTATTCAGGTTATTTCCATGTCTTGACTATTGTAAAATAGTGCTGCTGTGAACACAGGGGTGCATGTATCCTTGTGAATTAAGAGTTTTGTTTGGGTATATGCCCAGGAGTGGGACTGCTGGATCATATGGCAGCTTTTTATTTTTTTGTATGTTTTCGATTTTTTTTTTTTTTTTTTACCTTTGACCATGTTGCATGGCTTATGAGATCTTAGTTCCCTGATCAGGGATTGAACCCATGCCCTTGGTGGTGGAAGCGCAGAATCCTAACCACTGGCGCATGTGTGTGTGTGTGCATGTCTGGTCGTGTCCAACTCTTTGCGATCCCATGGACTTAACCTGCCAGGCTCCTCTGTCCACAGAACTTTTCAGGCAAGCATAACAGAGTGTGTTGCCATTTCGTACTCCAGGGGGATCTTCCCAACCCAGGGATCGAGACTGTGTCTCTGGCATCTTCTTAATTCTTTACCCCTGTGCTACCTGAGAGGCCCCCCTAACCACTGGACCGCCAGGGAATTCCTAATTTTAGTTTTTTGAGGAACCTCCATACTGCTTTCCTTAGTGGCTATACCAACTTACATTCCCAGCAGTAGTGTAAGGGGGTTCCCTTTTCTCCACATACTCTTCAACATTTATTATCTGTAGACTGTTTAATGGTGCCCATTCTGACTGATGTGAGGTGATACTTCATTGCAGTTTTGATTTGCATTTCTCTGAGGATTAGTGATATCAGCATCTTTTCATGTGCCTATTGGCCATCTGTTACCTCATCTTTGGGCTTCCCTCATAGCTCAATTGGTAAAGAATCCGCCTTCAATGCAGGAGACCCTGGTTCGATTCCTGGGTTGGGAAGATCTGCTGGAGAAGGGAAAGGCTACCCACTCCAATATTCTGGCCTGGAGAATTCCATGGACTGTATAGTCTATGGGGTCGCAGAGAGTTGGAGATGACTGAGTGACTGTCACTTTCTACCTCATCTTTGGGTAATGTCTGTTTAGGTCTTCTGCCCATTTTTCGATTAAGTTGTTTTCTTTGTTATCGAATGAGCTGTTTGTATGTTTTGGAAATTAATCCTTTGTTGGTCACATCATTTGCAGATATTGTCTCCCAGTCCATAGTCTCTTTTAATTTTATGGTTTCCTTTGCTGTAAGTTCGATTAGCTTCCATTTGTTTAGTTTTGCTTTTATTTCTGTTGCCTTGGGAGACTGATCCAAGAAAACATAGGCACAGTGTCAGAGAATGTTTTGCCTGTGTTCTCTTCTAGGAGTTTTATGGTGTCATGTCTTATTATTTAGGTCTTTTAGCCATTTTGAGTTTATTTTTCTGTATCGTGTGAAGGTATGTTCTAACTTCATTGATTTACACACAGCTTCCAACTTTCCCAAAACCACCTGCTGAAGAGACTGTCTTTTCCCCACTGCATATCTTGCCTCCTTTTTCAAAGATTAATTGACCAAAGGTGTGTGGGTTTATTTCTGGGCTCTCTGTTCTGTTCCATTGATCCATATATCTGTTTTTGTGCCAATACCATGCTATTTTGATTACTGTAGCTTTGTAGTATTGTCTCAAGTCTGGAAGTGTTATGCTTCCTGCTTTGTTCTTTTTCCTTAGGATTGCTTTGGCAATTCTGGATCTTTTACAGTTCCATATAAATTTTATTTGTTCTAATTCTGTGGAAATGTCATGGGTAATTTGATAAGGATTGCATTAAATCTGTAGATTGTTTTGAGTAGTATGGCTATTTTAACAATATTCTTCCAGTCCAAGAGATGGGATCATGTTTCCATTTCTTTGAATCATCTTCAATTTCTGTTATTAATGTTTTGCAGTTCTCAGCATGTAAGACTTTCACTGCCTTGGTGAGGTTTATTCCTAAGTTTTTTGTCTGTTTCTTGTCCTTCTGATGCAATTTTAAAGGGGACTGTTTCATTGTCAGTGTAAAGAAATGCAACCAATTTCTTTCTGGCAATCTTTCATCTTGCTACCTTGCTGAATTCGTTTATCAGTTCTACTAGTTTTTGTGTGGAGTCTTTAGGGTTTTCTACAGTGTATGTCATCTGCATATAATGATGGTTTTACCTCTTCCCTACCAATTTGTATACCTTTTATTTATGCCTCTTGCCTGATTCATGGGTCTAGGACTTCCAGTAGTATACTGAATAAAAGTCATGAGAGTGGGCCTCCCTCTCTTGTTCCAGATTTTAGCCCTGCTCCATGCTTTGTCCTCAGTAGTTAAGGGTGAAGGCCTAGGCCTTGCGGGGGTGGGAGGAATGGGTATTTGCTCCATGTACATCATGTGCCAGGTGATACGCCATAGGTCTCCTTAGTCCATCACAGCTACAGTACATGGGTGGAAGGTCATCCCCTGCGTTTTCAGGACTCAGTGCAGTTTGCATCCTGCTCACAGTTTATGTCTTGTAGTCAGGTCGGTTCCCAGAGCCAGGCACAGTGCGTCCCTGAGGCCTTAGAGGAGTGGGTCATCTGGTTGAAAAGATGAAACGCCTGTGTTGTACTCTGTGGTAGCAAAAAGGAGCAGTGTCTGACATGCTGGGGAGGATCAAGAGAAGCTTACCAGAGGCTGAGACATTTGAGCTGGGGTATGAAGGCCGAGAGGGAATGGAAGATAAAGTGAAAACCTGAGTGGGGTTTCCTGTGAGTCGCTGTGTCTAGATGGAGTTCAGTGGGTCTCGCAGAAGAGCAAATGAGGCGACAGTTTCCTGCTTCTCTCTCAGTGTAGGGCTCAGTCCTGTTCTCTGCCAGCAAGCGGTCCAACCCTCACTATGTCAGATAACCAGGCGGGAGGGTAAGTGGTCTTCTACTTGAGTGAGAACTCAGGGAGGGCCCCTGACCTTGAGTGCCAAAGGCCGAGAGGAGGATCTCTGGGGGGTGAAGCCCCAGGGTCTTGTGAGGATATGTGGTCTGTGAAGCCTCACCTGGCGCCGGGTCTGAATCCACAGCATCCTTTCCCTTTGCTATCAGGTCTGAACACCTACTTTACCCCATAAAGTGTCTGCCAACAGTGGAGCTTGCTTGCAAACCTCAGCCCAAGTCTAAAATGGTGTCTTTCTTATTTGATTTTTTAAGACTCGAAGAAGGTAGTGCCGACCTGAGGAAACGAATGTCACGGCTAGAAGAAGAACTAGACCAAGAAAAGAAAAAGTACACAATGCTGGAAATAAAGCTGAGGAACTCGGAGCGGGCACGGGAGGATGCAGAAAAGAGGAACCAGCTGCTGCAGAGAGAAATGGAGGAGTTTTTTTCAACCCTGGGAAGCTTGACTGTTGGGGCAAAAGGTGCCAGAGCGCTGAAGTAAAGGAACCAGCAGAGTTTGTTTCTGCTGCGTGCTTGTCCTCCCAGCCTTCCACAGCCTCAAGAGGAGCTAGAGCCTCTGCAGCTGGACCTGGGCTTCAGTGGTGCCAGGAGAGCCGGCCTGGGCTGGAGAGAGCAGTCCTGACACCCCGTCAGGAGCCCGAGCCCCACTCGGGATCTGGAGGCTGCTCTGACCGTGCAAGATGTGGCAGGCATCAAAGCGGCAGTCCCATGACCATCAAAATAGATGGCACATGGGATCTGAGTAGCCCACCAGGAACTTTCTGCATTCTTTATTAAATGTGCTCTCAAAGCATGATGCCTGGGTGCCTGACTCCTTTATGGTCATGCAGAGGGAGGGTACCAAGTGACTTCTTCTATTTCTCACAGGGTTGGAAGTCCTCCAGGTGTCCCATGGGTGGAATGGCATGGAGGAGCCTTGAGAAGTGGGTGGCAGAGCTCCCTGAGAGCATCCAGTGTTATCATGGTCACTGAAGCTGACTTAGGCACATCTGTGTGCTCTCGGCTCGATCTCCTGTGCTCAAGGCAGGATGGTTTTCCTCACTGCTTGCTCCCCCTCTAGCTACTTGGGCCCCTGCAGCTGTTATCTATCCGGAATTTCTCTCAGGCCTTCTACTGTAACCTGCTGTCCTTTGCGTGGCCCCAGCTCTGCTGCAGAGCCAGAACCTGTGAGTCATAGCTCAGCAGGGGTGCTGCACTCCCTGCTTCTGCCCCCCAGGTTTGTGCAGGGTGACGAGGCATGACTGTGATGGAGAGGTGAGCCCGTTACGTGCAGGGTGACGAGGCAGGGCTTTGTAATGGAGAGGGGGAGCCTGAGTGATGGCCAGTGTCTGTTCGCTGTCCTCCAGGTGCCACACCTCAGCTGTGCCCACCTCCTTTGCAGACTCTCCTTGAGCTGGTGCCAATCCCTCTCCCTTCCCTGCCTGCTTACCTCCGTCCTCTAGTTCATCCCCAAGGCTCCATGGAGGCAGTTCCTTCAAGCAAGGCTTTCCCTGGCTGCCACCCCACTCAGCCCGGGCCTGGGCCTGAGTTCCTCAGGATGGGCCTTCAGGGGCACCAAAGCAGCCACCTCTGAGCAGACGGGACTGGCGTCTGGAGAGCATGCAGTGCAGGCACCATTCCCTTCACTTGCTCCTGCTCATGGTATACTTCCCCGTCACTCTTCACAATCCTCAGCAGCCAACTGCAATAGTTTTGGGGGGAGTGGGGTCACCAAAGTACCCTGATTTCTGACTACCATCTCTGGAGAAATCACTCAGGCCAGCTACCCATCTACCTGGAGTCAGGTATAAACTATCACAGCAATGCCCTAAATGCCAGGGTGCTGGTGCTCCCAGAAGTGCTGGCTCTCCATCGTTAAGGTGCAAGCCCACAGGCCCAGGCTGACTAGTAACTCCAGCGATAGTGAGGAGGCTGATGACTGGCCCTCAGGCAGGTCACTGCGGGCCTCACCAGCCAAGAGGAGAGGTGCCTGCCGAGGGCCCTCAGCAGCATCAGCAGTCAGAATTCTCTTGGGGGATTCCGAGGGGGTGGTCAGTGGACAGCACTACCTGCATCTGCTCCCAGGCCCATTGCTATCATAGCAGTGTGGGTGACCAGCTTTCCCAGGGGGGAAAAATATTGCCCTCCTCCTCCTGTTCAAGGAGAAAGAAAGTAGTATGAAGTGACTGATTGCTCACAACAACTCAGTAACATAGGAATTAACCACAGGCTCCCCTATTCAGTGGAGAAGCTGAGGCCAGGGAGATAGGTGAGAACACCAGTGTATTTTATGGTCGTCAGTTCTGCTAACTTTGACCTAGAGAAAAAATGCTGCCAGGCTATGAAAGGAGCAGAAATGACCAAAGGCGCTTGACATGATGACAGGGACGCCATCTGTCTTAGCCATTAGTAGTGAGTGGCAAAGGCTCAGCTTTTGGCCAAGTCCCTGGCCCAAACCAGCTTGTGAGCCGCACTGCCACCTGCTGGCAAAACTTAAGACCTGCAAATTCAATTTTTCTCAAAATTAGGCAGTACTCAGTAGCTATTCTGTCCTCCAATTTCCATTTAATCAGCACTCTCCATTTTGTTTGTAAAACATCCTGACCTCTGCCTGTACATCACACTGAGACTGAGGGGCTCCGGCCCAGTACCCTGTCCCCATCCACCACGTTCTCCCCAGTTCAGTTAAATTTTAGTTACCAAACCTGGGGATTCAACTTATTCCTATTATTGTAATGACATCTTTTAATACTAAGTACACTGATGCAACTAGAGATTATCATACTAAGTGAAGTCAGAAAGACAAATATCATATGATATCACTTAGTGATATCCACTTAGTGGAATCTAAAATATGGCAAATGAACCTCTCATCTATGAAACAGAAACAGAATCACAGACAGAATAGACTGGTAGTTGAGGAGGGAGGGGATTGGGGGAGGAATGGAGTGAGAGGTTGGAGTTAGCAGATGTGAGCTTTTATATAGAAGATAAATAAACAACAATGTTCTAGTGTATAACACAGAAAACTATATTCAATATCCTATGAAAAGACATAATGGAAAAGAATATATATATACATATATATGTACAACTGAACCACTCAACCGTGCAGCAGTAATTAACACGACACTGTAAGTCAACCATATACTTTAATTAAAAAAATAAATTTGAGAATCTGATGAAAGCTATAGACCCACTGAAGAAGAAAAATAACCACATATACAAAAAATTTAGCTTTCAAAGGCCTCTTGAAGCCTGCCGCTAAACTCTGTAATCAAAGTTTAGAGATTAAGGGATTAATAGTAAATTCTTAAATTTGAAAAAATAATATTAAGTAAATCAATGAATTATAAATGTGAAAAGATAGAGAATCAATATTTTGAAAACCTACATGAATGCTTTAGAAAGACTCAGTAACCACAACTTACTAAGAAAAAATTGTCAAATTATCTATGAATCAAACATACAATAATGGAAAATAGGTGGAAAAAATCTAGGATTCTGCTCACAAACTACTTTTTAAATTTTTTAAATTGTTTTAAAATTTGTGTTTGACTCTAAAGATAAAACTGGAAATTTTAAGTCTTACACTGAAAAAAAATGAGTTGGCTTACTTTTACAAAGACTGGCAAATGCCCCATGTTAGAATACAATTTTAAGAATGTGTGTATATGAAAGAGACAGAGGCAAAGACAGAAACAGTGGAAGAGATATTCCTTGTTTTGCCTGGCTGGTAGAATAATGGACCAGGTATGAACTGTGTTCACTCCACACAGTAAAAGGACTTTAGAGTCCAGGTAACCAGGCGCTCCAATCTGTGGGCAATAAATGGAGTCAGTAACAACATCCCCTCCCTCCTGAGCAGGGCCCCAACCCCCTGGAGAGTTCTCCCACCATCCTTAACACAGTTCCACCACAAAGGGGCAGCAAGAGGAGGCAGCAGCAGCAGTGTGGGATAGCTGTCATGTTTACCTAGCTGGGAGCTCATATATATGAGACACTGTGTGATGAAACTAAGACCGAAGGACAGCAAGGGGCAGTGATTCAGTTAGACAGATCCAGGCAGAAGTCTGCATGAGTGCCAGTGCCCTTGCTGGCATGGGAGATGGACAGGGCCAGAGCCAGAGCCAGGCAGGGACCAGATCCTGTAGATCCCTGTTGCTTACGGTAGTTACTTTTATTTAGGGATACTGGAAAGCATTCAAGGACATGAATTGGCTTGCATTCAACAAGGAAGGCGATTTTGGCCACTGCTGGACAGTGGCTCAATTTGCCCACAAAAGGAGTAGCAGCAGGGAAACTAGTCAGGGAACTATCGGTGTGGTCCAGGCCAAGTGGAGTACAGGGTCAGGCCAGAAGCTAGCAGGAACTGACTGAAGACTAAATGAGAGGTGAAGAGAAGACCCTGTGCCCAGACCAGTCTTTCCAGAAGTGCAGATGAGGCTAGAAGCAGAGAAACAGGGTGGCGGAGTGGAGGGGGCAAAGGAGAGCTTTTACTGGGGATTACTAGAGCACACTTGTGTGCTGCCAAGAGTGATCCAGCAGAGGGAAAGACTGGTGAGGAAGAAAAGAGCGTGTCATAACGAGGAGAGGTGATTCTGAAAAAAAAAAAGACAAGGAAAAGTAGAAGGGCTGGGTTCAAAGAGAAGAGGTAGGAAGACAGGGACATGGTTGAGGGAGGTTTATGGAAATGCATACCGAAGTTTGAGGATCCTTGAAAAACGACGAACGTGCTTACCTTTAATTAGCAGCCCCCAAATTTATTTGAACACAAAACCCTTTTTTCACATGAGACTTCTTAGGCAGTAGAGCACAGTGGTCACAGAGTGAAAAATGAAGGCAGACTATCCAGATTCAGATCCTGGCCCCACCGCACGGTTGTGTGGCTCTGAGCAACTTGCTCAGCATCCCTGTGCCTCAGGGTGATCACCTAAGAGGGAAGAGTAACAGTTCTTACCTCACAAAGTTGTTATAACAACCCTGAGCTCATATAGTCACAGCACTTGATGCCCAGCATAGAGTAAGCTCTCCACGAATATTGCTACTAATTCAACACAGAACTAGCATTCTGTGCAACTAACTAGGAATCGCTACTAGGTACTGAGACCTTGAAGGATTTCAGGCAGGGTGGGGCATGATAACCACTTCAGCGGCATGGTCTGCCCCCCCTCCCTTGCCCATCCCTTTCAGGCCTCCTTCAGTGGTCTCCTGGTATCTTCCCAGTTCCCTTCTTAGTAACACCCTGGAGCATGACCTACCTCATTCTTTACTTCACCCTGTATCCCATTCGTTACTGCTCCTGGTGGAGGATTTGGTACTTAGTTCTTCAAGGCAGCGATAATGAATGGAGGGACCATATCAGGAAGACCTTCTCCCTCTGACTCCTTCTGAGAAAACAGAGCCATAAAGAGTTTACCCAACCCGCTGTAGGTGCGGTAACCGGTGTGAAGCCCAGATTCAACTTCAGGTATCTGCTGTCAGAGCACATGCTCATATTAC